AAGGAAAGGTTTATACCTCTTCTCCTTAATAGATACATATATTGTTCTTTGGTACATTTCTGCATCATAAATAAGACGTGGATGCTGTTAGAAGTAGGAGTATAATCCATGTTTTAAGTGTTGTATAAAAGCGCTCTGTTATATTGCCAGCGAACAAAAAGCAAACAATGCCCGCCTTCAGTGTTGAATATGACATTTTTAATACACTTCAAATAAAATCGACGTATGTTATTCAAATTGACATGGCTTAAAACCAATGGATACCAGACCTTGTTTACTCTCATGCAGGTTGCAAGGTTCATATTTACATCATTACCTTGAGTGGTATCAGATACATATTGTCTGAACCTCTTAGTGATGGGTAGATTTTGACTAAACATTGTCTCTGCTGTCTTGTACTCTGTTTTGGTAAGCTATACTGTATGAGACCTGTTGATGACTCTGCTCTTCACGTCTGGCGGGTATTCCTTGTACCACGATCCTCAATCCTATCAGTATATTGCTTTAATTTTCTTCACGTGTTGGTGATATATACTCCACGCGTGAGTAGAATTAAGTCATATAAGACTTCTCAGCATACAGAGTACTGCGTTTCTTATAAACTCTAATCAGTCCAAAGAGATACCAGCTAGTAGTAGTATCTCTTTGATCAGTCTTCTATAAAACTGGACAAAATTTACGATATTGGTTATATAGAAACGACGATGAAAAGAAACAACTCTTCAAATAGGAAACAAAAAACCCGTCCAACTTTCTATATTATCTACAATTAGGTATCATTTATGTTCTATTCCAGTTTCTTTCCGGTTATGTTTATGCCGGGTTTGAAGTACGTATTACCCATTAAGTGGCTAATTTTATTTTGTCACGGAGTGTTCCATCTTGTGGATAAAATGGAATCCCCTTGGGATGTATCGCGTGATAAGATTGATACGTTAATGCTCGGTTTTAATGGGGAGACTGTTTACCTAGTTCATCTCAAACGTAGTTTATAGCTCTTCGTATTATTAGAACGGAAGACGGGTGAATGACTTAGTATTAGCAAACGAATAGGAGAAGGAAGAAGGAGATGGAGATGATGATGATGAAGGGAAAAGGAGGAAATAGAGAGGGAGAAGGGCGATGAATTTGAGAAATTGAAAGAAAACGAATTCCATGGAAATTTAGAAGAAGGATAGCACTTAATAAGTGTCTATTTAGGATCTTATTTTTGTCCAGTTCATTGCTTTCCGAAAATGATGGTAGTAAGTTTAATGCTCTTGTTATGAAAGAGACGTCACTAAATATTTTGCCCCGATTATATTTACTGTATAGACTGGAAGAGCAAGACATTCGCTGTCAACAAAGGTCTTTTTCAAAGTGACCTCATTTTAGAATGTCTTTAGTTCGTCATCTTGTTTATCAGTGAGACGGGGAAAATAAGAATGAGATGGTTTAGTGCGACGCAAAGAGGGATTACAGAGAAGAAGAAGAAGAAGAAGAAGATAGAGAGAGAGAGAGAGAGAGAGAGAGAGAGAGAGAGAGAGAGAGGGGGGCACCAATGGGAAAATAAGAATGAGATGGTTTAGTGCGACGCAAAGAGGGATTACAGAGAGGAAGAGGGAGGGGAGAGAGAGAGAGAGAGAGAGAGAAAGAGAGAGAGAGAGAGAGAGAGAGAGAGAGAGAGAGAGAAGAGAGAGAGAGAGAGAGAGAAAGAGAGAGAGAGGGGACACCAAGGGGGGGGGGGGTAAATAAAACTGTGAGCAGTAGAGAGCAAGTAAAAATATCTTCTTCTTTCAAGGAAGTGATCTGATATTTCAGTCACCGCACATCCCGTATCATATTCATCATGTTCATGAGAAAGTGATATTGGATATGACAGTTAAGGGAATTAGAACTAAATATCTACCTTATATTTCAGAGAACAACCACGAATTGTATCAATCCATAATAATTCCATTTTAGGAAAGATAAGGGAGAAAGTGGTTGTGGAAAGGGGGGGGCGACGGCGACATGAAGCGGGCAGAGTGGATATAATAAGATGGGGGGGGGGGGGAGGGGTCAAGTGATATCAATGTGTATTAGAAGAGAGGGATGGATACGAAAAAAAACAACACAGTGGTCAAATTGTACTTCAAGATATTTACATATTTAAACGATGACTGGGAAAGAAGAGGGATTGTGAAAGGAGACAGTGGGAGGGAGAGAGATACACAGAGAGAAATAGACATATAGTAATAACGAAAGATAAATAATAACAATTATCCTTGCTTATATAGCGCCTAACACTTACTGTATCAGAAGTCTCTAAGCGCTCTACAATAATGCGGCATAATTAAAGAGGGAGTAAGGTAAAGAGAGAGAGAGAGAGAGAGAGAGAGAGAGAGAGAAAGAGAGAGAGGGAGAGAGAGGGTGATCAGAATACCACAATGAATACGTAACTCTCCCGATTCTCAATCTTTAGTAGATGTAGAACCACCCCCTATCCAGCACATAATTATAACAATGTCAATATTCCATGTGTTCCATGGTTTCACATAGTTTCCCACGCCTCTCCTCTTTACCAGCAGAAATAGCACACTTTATCGAATGAAATTTAAAAAAAAATGGAACATGCATGAAAGAGTGTTTCTGCTAGATATAATTTTCCTTCTGTTTTGCTATAAACACTGTATTGTAAAATGATTTATACGGTATATAATGTTTGCAAACAGAATGTTGATTTGTTACATTACATTGTAAATTGAGATATATATATATGTTTCCAAACAGAATATTGATTTGTTACATCACATTGTAAATTGATTTATATGTTTATAAACAGAATATTGATATACATCAATGAATTTTAATAAATACAATACAATACATGAAAATAGGTAACTGTTTTTAAAGATATTGTAGTTGCTATACTAAAATACATTATGAAAGTTTGATTGAAGAAGTACGCTCTGGTACATTAATATTGATAGATTTGTATTCAAAACACTAAATTCAGATATCAATTTGGTTCTGTGATCAGATAGGAGAATATCAAAATATGCTTTGGTAATTGACAGTATGAGATCTAAATATTTTCTACTGTTTGTGGAAAAAACGAAAGAAGAAAGTCTTCTTAAAAGAGCATTACGGTCATTGAGGAACACCAATACTCGCAGGAAGAGCTTATGATTACACAGAATATATTTAGAGTATGAAAACTTCCTGAATCTCGAAGTGCTTTTATCTGACAGCTCATGGTCATTAAGAAAACCTTTATTGATCCGAGTACACGTTTAACATCTAAAAAAAATACTTGTTGACAGTATACCTGCCTTTAGAAGATTCAGTGATATTTCTGTTTTTTTAATACATTTTTTTCCCCACAATATTACTGTAAATATCGATGAAAAGATTAATGGCCGAAAAACGCAAAATTCCCTTCGCTTTTTATACTTCTGTAGTCATGGGGATTATAAGATATTTTACATTTGAAATCAACCAAGCGAACATTAAAAGCGGTCTGATGACGCACGAGCATTTTATCTATATACTGTAGAAACAACTATTAATAATAGCATTCCTAAGTAAGGGCAATCGCTCGTAATCCTTTACAATATAATCGTTCGATTGACTTGCAACTGTATTTAAAGATTTTGCTCCATATACAGTGATGTGAATGAAAAGCAATAGATACATCCTGAATTACGTATACAAGCTCTCATCAGAATGAAATGAATAAGTTAACAACTAAATAATTCCTTACCCTTACCAAGTTTTGTAATTTTAAAAAGTATTTAAAAACATTTAGTTGTCCCCATTTATGTTTCTTGAGAATGTGACGCAGGAGGCGCGATAGCTCAGTCGGTAGAGCAGTGGTCTCGTAATCCGGTGACCAGGGTTCGAAACCAAGGTGATGCGCTAGTGCCCTTTGGTAATCCTCATTAACAGGTCCCTCGGAGAGGACCTAAAGCCGTCGGCCACCTGGTTGCTTACTTACAAGCATTTATACTTTCTTAGCAGTCAGGTAAAATAACCTCCACCACCACATTGAAGCTTACATCTAAAGGCATCAACATAGGCCTAGATTCAACCAGCACACCTTTAATTCATAAGTTACAAAAACATCGAATTTATAAAGCGTGTGAATAATTTAGTTTAAACTGTATTTAAACAATTCTCAAATATTTTCTCTAACAGATAGCATAATAAAAATACAGCAACTCATCTAGGAATCTTATATTCAAACACAGTGGAACCATATAGGTCCATGGTGGAACCTCGTAATAAAGAACTCTGATGTAAAATATATCTTATAACAAGATAATTCTGTTACACTCAGTTCTTTTGATTCCCTAATATGTCAAAATGCCTGATACATGAAGGTAATTTCCATAGTCCCGAGGTCCCGGGTCCCTGTCATGAGGTGCATTCGCGATACGATCCATGACGCTGACGTAAACAAAATACGCCCATATAGCTAGAAACTGATATTTTATAGACATTTGCCAACATGTATCCATCTGTTTATATTTTATAGACAATTTCCCTTTGAGTAATGTTTCATGAAACATAGTGTCATAGCCTTTCTGATTATTTGCCTGAATGTTGAGCTATAAGTGGCCTAGCGTAAATAGTTGTCATGCGAGGGGGGGGGGGGGCACTGGTCCTTCTAATATTGTTAACATTCCGTAGAGGCCTAGCCATTTTCTTCCAGTGTGCGTTTTTCTCCCTTTCTTCTTTCCCTCTTTATTTCTATTCATCGTTCGTTTCATGTAAACTCTTTCCATCAAAGCCAAATAGTGAACTGCTATAAGAGGATGATACACATTCAATGTCGACCAGATAAAGGTATACGTGAATGAAGAGAAATCTTTAGAATAACAAATGTTATTCAAGTTGTAACGACTGTAATTTACCAACCATTCAACCTTGCAGCATATAACAATTCATCCTCCCAGGAAGATGATTCCGATCACATAAAAGATAAGCATGATGATGATAATACTTGTAAATCTTAGAACTGAAAGAAAGCTACTTACGATCGATATCACCACTCAATCTCAAGTTCTTTCTTATGGACAAACCAAGCAAGCGTTCCCCTCCGTCGATGTGTGCCTTCCAGTGGACTGAACTCCTGTAATGATCAAGACAGCTTGGAGAACCTTCTCCTCTTGCTTCCCTTTCTTCATCACTGCATGGTTGCTATAGAAACAGCAGGTAGTTTCATCCCTCAATCATCCGGCCCCTAATGGCGTAGTTCCTGGTGATTGTACTCAGGTAGTGATGAGAAGCAATGGTTGAAAGAGAACAAATACGTGTGCTTACTTCATTCAAGCACCGTGTGAAATAGAATCTCTAGGCGGTGATTAAGAACATTGTGATTCAAACGCGAGAAAAAAAATCAATGATTTACGCCCTTTTTATATAACGCAATAGAACAAGCATTCCGTTTTTCATAGAGCGTGTCCTATATAAATACCAATCCTATTGCCTGCGCTTTACATGTGTATTCCAAAATTATGTAATATTTATGTTGGTTTAGGTCATGGATTTGGTGGAAAAGTGTTTCTTGGTGCGTGGTCTGAAGCCAAATAGAGAATAAGTTGTCTTTAATATAGCTACTTGTGTAACGGTATTAACCCGGATTGGCTTATGGGAGTTGAATTAATAAAATGAGGGGGGGGGGGGGGAATCAATATGCGAATGATGAAATCAGTGCATGAATGAATGGTGGCAGATCTAGATAATAGTTGATTTTTTATCATATCGTACGATTTTTTAATTTGCTTATATAATATATACGAGGGGCGTTCAATAAGTTCATAGCCCGACTATAAAGGAGCAGGTATTCGGAGACGTAATTACGTCTTAATGAATATTTCATATTTTCTATTACAGGTGACAAGATTTAAGTTTAGCAGCACCCCCACCTAGGTATAAGAGCAGCCGTTTAAATTGGAGTTACTGGGACTTAAAAAATAAATAAACAAAAACAAACGTCATCATAGCTTTATCAGCCAGCTGGAAGGAAGCTGCTTATTTCTATATTGTGGAGTAGGCAGCAGCATGTCCCATAAAGATGCCATCCAGCTTCTCACGGATATCATTCGGCTCCTCTTCTGGAGCACCATGAAATGGATGACGGCACGATGCTGAACAAAATCCATTAAAGGTACTATGTCCCTTTTGCAGCCAACATCAAATTCTGTAGAACTTTGCAGAAATTATGAATGTCCCATCTGTGAAATTTAAATGTTAGCAGTGTCCTAATTGTCAAATTATGCAAGGAAACCCGTTTACTTGCTAGACTTCACTGTCAGACACTATTGAGTGACTGACTTGCTTTTTTTTCTTCTTTGGTTATGACATAGGTACATGAGCATTTGTCTACATCAATAACCCACTTCTTGTAATGGCCAAAATTAAACTGATTGAATCTTTGTGCAGCACAAAACGTACGACCATTCAGTAGAATGGTCTGGAAATCAGACTATTACTTACTGGCTCTATAGCTCTTAAGTCGATTTGACAACTAATAGTCATTATTTTCCCACTTAAAGACATTTTCAAGACCCCCTTTTTTTAGGGAAGTTCTAAATTAGTATTTACTTTCAAATGCCGTTGGAATTTAACCTTTTCATTTTTGTGGCCTGCAAATGGGACATAGTACCTTTAATATCGACCTCAATATCACATGTAATAGACATGACATAGAATATGACAACTTCTTATCTAAGAGATGATTATTATAATGATGCGTATCAAGGATGATGCTAACGGGCTCCCATTTGTTCCCCTCCTCCACTAGAGGAAGTATTCAAGGAGAACAGAATCATAATCATAAGGTTATTACATTGTTGCAATGCTGATTTCTCAGAACACGATTCGTGTGCAAGGAAATGTCAAAAAATGCTCTTGAGAATAATCACGTAAAATGTCTTTGTTGAACTGGCCTCGATTTCAAATGTGTTTCCGTTCTGTCATTAGGGAGTGTAGTGTTATATGATTATACAAGAATAAGAAGGTACATTCATTTCAAAGAATGGCTTGTCGTCGAGTTGCATTGGTAGACGGTAAGTTGATATTGAATTAGCTGCATCTTTTGAAAAGGAAAACAACATGAATGATTCAGAATTGTCAACAGACAATCTCTTTTTTAAAATATTTTCCAATTCTAAATTTAAGAGCAATGCATTATCGTTGAGCAATACATTGATGGGCTTCATAAGCAGTTTATTACATTAACTGCAGACCATTTAAGTGGTCATGATATCAATTATCTACTGAAGTATCAACTAGTTTCAGTTTTTTCCATCCCCGCGCTCTTCTGTATCTGATTCTCGTCTTTATTTTCCTTTTATTTTTCTCCTCCTCTTCTTCTTTTCAGTTTAACTATTGAATTCGTCTGCACTTCAACGGTATTTACATTCTCTTACAAATGAAAACGGTTTCAGTAAAGAAGAAGGAGGAACTATCGAACTACACCGGGAGCAAAACGTTTATTTCCCCGGAAATAGGGGAGGATAGAATTTCGATTAAAAACCTACCCACTCATTGGAAAAGAAATAAGAAACGACAATATCGGGTAGAAGGAGTAGTGACCCCCGTGGAAGATTATGGATGCTGTAGGCAATGATATTGATTGCAAATCTCAATTATCGTCATCTGTTTTCTCTCTGACGTTTGAAGATGAATCCACACAGCATACCATGTAATAATCAATCATAAGACACATAAGCTTGATTAAAGCTCGTGAATAAAGGAGAATATTGGTCTTAACTCTTAACGGATTTATAAATACTCTTGAAAAGGATTACCCTCCCCCTTTTTGATAATTGCGTATTTTCATCTTTGTTCATATTATTTCTAAATTCATCTGGTATTAAGGCAACATCATAGGAATACGCATTAAAGTCTGTAGAAAGAAAGAGAGAAAGAGAGAGAGAGAGAGAGAGAGAGCGAGAGAAAGAGAGAGAGAGAGAGATAGAGATAGAAAGAGAGAGAGAGAGAGAGAGAGAGAAAGAAAGAGAAAAGAGAAGGGAAAAGAGGGAATAGAAAGAGAGAAAGAAAGATAGGAAGGAAAACAAAAGAGAGATAATATAGATTGGCAGATAGCTAAATAGATTGATTGAAGAAGGGTAGAAAGATTAAGAGATAGAGGATAAATAAAGACGGAAAGGCGGGGGGGGGGGAGCAAGAGTCCACCCTCCTCAATTTCTTTTGTCTTCTGACTCAAGCTGTTTCTAATTCTGACTCAAGCTGTTTCTAAATCAACACACACGTTTTATCATTAGGTTCTATTTAAAACATTTTTCCCCATTGGTTTTCTATGATCGTTTTTGTACTTTGGATCTTAAGAGTGTTTGTTGAGAAACCATGATATTTCAAGATTTATCTTCATAAATGCCATAGGAAATGTAATCTTCTGAAGTAATACAAGGAGCTTTTATGATATTAATTTTTTAATGAATAGAACGTGTCGTTTCTGAGCAACATTCCAATATCAATATTGTACGATTATGTAAAAGATTGACACGTTTTTCTTGTTAATAACTAACAATCCGAAGCTCTTATCGTACTTAAGGTTGTGTATTTTAAATCGGATGGTGTAAAATTCACCTAAGTTAAATACATAACTTTTCTATTATGGCTATTATAAGTATGTACTATGTTAAACAAATTCATGAAGTTCTCATTAAGAGTAACAAACAAACATGTCTCTCTCTTCCCCCTCTCTCTCTCTCCTTCTCTCGCTCTCTCTCTCTTCCACTTTCTTTCTTTATCTCTCTCTCTCTCTCTCTCTCTCTCTTCTCTTTGTCCAATTTTAGTTCCACTCTCTTCTTATATCAGTGTACGTTTTTTTATGGATCTGATTATGTTTGTATTCTCTATAACCATAACAACAGCTTTGAGCTTTAACATTTCAGAGATATGACTAAAAGATAAAGTGGTCCTTAATCTTCCAGGCAGAACTTTAATAAAACAGGCCTGCTCTTCAGTGATCGATAGTATCTTTTTTAAAGTAAGGGGACTATTACACAAGAACAGTGTGTGTTGGAAGCATGGCAGACAGATAGAGAGATTTCCTATACGGTCTACGCCACACATTTCGTCCATCCCCACTCTTCTCCAATATTCTTCCGTGCTTCACACCAGTCTCCTATTTCTACTCACAGCATTCCTCGCTGTATAATGACATGTTTTCGTAAACATGAAACCTCAGAATTACGAGTAATCGGAATACCTGTTTGTGTGAAGGCCCGTCATTCTGCCGAATTGATGACCAGAAAGGATGACCCCTCTGTATACGCTTATGATGAAACACGAGACATAATTTGATAGACGTTGTCTGTCACAATGCGCTAAACAAAGTCTTATTTTATACACCTCTGTAAGTAGTGAGGGAATGCGAATTGTGGTATAAGCCTATAGATTGCAGATATGAGTTAGAATTTTAATTACGAATCTAGAGCTTTTGAGATATAGGAAAAGAAGTGTTAAATGATGTACAATTGGAATGGAAGTAATTTAGTCACGGTACGGTTCTTCACAGTGTCACATCGTTGCCCTAATAGGCCTAATGGATAATCTTCCTACGAATTGCACCGCCGATTCATTCACTTCTCAATCTGGATGCATTAACTACATAACTGTAGCAAACAAAAAAAGGATATCTTTGTTTGAATTGCTAACAGAGCATGAACGTTTCATTTGTGTAATGGAGGGAGGTTTTTGTGTGTGTGGGTGGGGGGGGGGGGGGGGGGGGGGTCACATCCTACACCTCCTCTGGCGGTGCCTATGAGTCCATAACCTTTGCACGCCATTCTCAGCATCAAACTCTCTCTACTCGATAACCAGCATGAATAGGAAATTTAACATTCAACAATAATGAGCGATGTTCCCCTTTGATTTCAAAACTGTTGGCATGACCGCAAGATGCATCGATATTAGCTTATTCATTAAGCTGTCAATGTTAAGTTCAGTTCAGTTCAGTTTGGCTTGGCTTGGCTTAGCTAAGGCTGGTGGGTAATACTCATGTCAACTATAATGTATCAATTTCGATGTCATGAAATAAACATCATACACTGGTTACTCACACAGTCTGCGAGCCCAGTAAATTGAATTGAATTGGTCTTTATTTCATTCATCATAAAAAGAAAACCAGCGCTTCGTGTTCGCTTTAAATATTTACATTGTATCAGTCCAGGAACGTATGCCTAAAAATAATGCCATAGGCAATGGTCCATATTCGACAGATGATCACGCATTAATTTATTCCAGTCAAATTTTATTTTGTATAGATTATA